AGCTTCCGTTCAACTCGCGAATGGCTTTCATTATTCACTCTTTCACAATGCGTCATTCAATTTGCGTCGAATGCACTGGCTAAAATCGAACGTCAGTTGAAAACGAGCGAAATTATGGGCAGCGGAAGCGCGTGTTGCGCTTAATTGCGGCGCTTAAAATTTTGTATACGAAAATCATTCTGAATACGTGATTGTCCGGAGCCACTTGTTGAAGCCGATATATCGAACCGCAAGTGTCACGCGTTTTCACCTTTGGGGTGGGGCAGAGAAATAAGATTTGCGATGGCATGTATACCCGGGAGTGCGTTAAAAGCGGTCTTTCAGCTGTCACGACGATCCATTGTGTCAGTTGAGAAAATAAGGAACGCATTGCTAAAAAGAGCGTCTCTCCGCTTTCTCGGTCGGTTTCTTGATGAATATCCTGGCTGTTTGTCACGTAGGATGCAAAATACAAGCTGCCCTTAATCTCAGATGAACGCTCTGATTCACGATTCTGGCAAGCAGCCAAAATAGCAAAACATACCCCTTTAATTATCCTCGAATTAATTAACGCGAGACCTCTTTCTGTCTTTCGATTCCGAAACGAGATGAAAGAACTGACCACGCAGTTTTATTGCTAACTTTTTTTAAGTCTATATACAGTGTCTATATAAAATCAGAAGACAATTTTATATCTTATTATTATACGTAATTTTTTTAATAAAAATTTTTTTTCTTTTAATAAAAATATTATATACAGTTTTATTTTAGTTTTAAGAAATAGATATATTTTCTGTTTGTGTTTTTCGTTCGCTTTGTTTCGCATAATCGATACGAATGAGACGCGTTGTTTTTATATCGCTATACTTTGCATTGAAACGTAAAAATATGAATAAATGCATGTAAGTATATACACTAAAAAAAATATGTTAATTTGGCTAAACTCTTCAACTAAATATTATTTTGTTAATTGAATATATAAAAATATTTAAATTAAATGTAACATATTAAATTTAATGAAACGTATATTTGACTTAAATATTAATGTTTAATGAACAAAATAGTAATTTAGTTGAAAGGTTTAGTCAAATTAACATATTTTTCAGGGTACGACACAATACGCGGAATACTCTTTTGTCGTCGAATTATGGTCGCCGAGCTGTGAATCGTCATGTATAATTAGATTTAACAATGTTTCTCCTTATAGCACGATAGCTGTACCATTTTTGCGAGACACGGTATGCACCGTATCGATGTCAAGGACACGGGACAAAACGCGAATCAAACCGCCGCGATCTTCGTCACGCGTTTCACTCGCTTTTTTTCTCACCGCAGAGATGTTTCCTTTTCAGGATTTAAAGTATGACATCACCCTCACCTCGATGTTTTTTACGTATCATATGTGCACTCGAGCCACCTTTTATCTCTCTCTTATATAACATTACTCTTACGTTTACGTGCAGAAAATATACTTCTTCGTTGCACGCGGCGATTAGAAAAAATATGCAAATGTCCAGCATTTTTATGTGTGCGTGAGCGATCGAGAAATGGGAAATCACGATATATTAATGAAGGTATATGTCATGGTCGACTGTGTCGCAAAGCGGCTCTCAATCGATTTATTTTTCAAGAGCCAAGATCTACATGATTATGAGATAACTTTCGATTTATCTCAATTATTTTGATGCCCGCCTCGTGAATTGAAAAATTGTGATATACTAATGTTTCTTAAAATGTTGTAAATTTTATTTACATTCAGGAATCGGGAATATAATACTAACTTTTCAGGATAATTTTTGCGATTATTGGTGTAGTGTTATCTCAAAATTGTAACAAAAACAAAAACGAATATGCACCGAAATTATCGAGTTTTATCTCGTGCATTAAAGCCTGTTTGTCTCACGAGGGGGAAGAGATAACCGAGGAATATATGGAGGCTGCCAAATATAGTCCGTTGCAAATCGACGACGACCGACTCTCGGACGTGGTGAAATTGTGCATTTCTCCCTTTCTCGTCTTTCGGGTCGCGTTCGCAACGTGTAAGAAGCTTCAAAAAATATAATATAAAACAACAGGCGCGATTTATTTTCTAAAGCGAGAAACAATTTTCTGACTCTGGCATATTAGATGCGATTACTATATATATCGACCGCACGATTCATTTAATCGTGACGATTACGAAAGTAATTTAATTAATGGCCTTCGTCTAAAAATAGACTCTCTCTTGTGTTCTCTTCTCTCGCGCTTTAAAAAATATTCATTATTTGAAGAAACATTAATTTAATTTGACGAAACTCGTGTAACTCGAGTCGCTTTCATAATCGTCGGCAAATTTGTCGTCTCGCTTCCTGTCGCGTCTCTGTTAAATTGCCAAGAAGTTCAGCGACATATTTGATACCCGATATATCTGAACGTACCCGAAAATACGACTATCCCGAATTTTCAACGGCCCGTTTAATAACGTACGTCCCTCCGAGGTTCATTTCCGCCGACCACGTGGCGCCCCGCGGATGTGAATCTGCACGCGATGTACTTCTGCGGTCGTATAAAGGAGACCCGCAACCTCCCACGTAGCTTTAACAACAGTTTTAACGGACTGTGCACCCAAGTTTGACAAGTAAAGCCGGAGCACTTTCGCCCACGCGGACGTACGTGCGTGCGTGTCGTTTATGTTACGCTCGACCTCTTCTCGCGCATTGTTTCTATGTGTAATCTTTTTGCCACCATTGTGGCTCTCATTGTACGTTCGCTATACAGAGTTAGGCGCGCGATAAAGAATCATTTTTCAAAAATATTCAGATGGTATTGGAGGTAAAATTAATTTTTTTTTTTTAATTTGTCTCTCAGAATACATACATACATAGAGAGAATTTTCTCTTAAATTTATCCTAAAAATCATGGTAATCACGGGACAATATGGTATTGGGAGCATTCTATAAGAGTTTCTTAGATTAATATTCACCACAATAAAAAAATTAATAGCTACCACAATATAAGATATAAAAAATATGTTTAATTAATTTTACTATGTACACATTATATAATATTTTTTATTGTGGTAAATACCGTAAATACCTATTAATCAGGAAAACTCCTATAAAATTATTCCAATACCATATGAAACCGCCACACAGAAGAATTTTGAAGGCAATAAGTTTTTAAGAATCATATATTTTTAGTATGCACAATTGTAATTCATAGTAAACCGAATGCAACGAAATTAAAAAATTAAAGATCTTTCGTAGCTTGACATAGAAAAAAATAAATACTATGAGAAGTATATGTTCTCTAAAATGTTACAACTTTTACTTACATTTTTTTTAACTATTAATATCTTCAAAAATATTCACTTGTCATCTTGTATAAAAATTGCAAAAAGATCATCATAGTGAAAATAAAAATTCTTGATGAAAAACTTTTTCTTGAAGACAATTTCTCTGCATATTTAGAAGATGTAGAGAAAATTTGAGAGAGAATCAGGCTGAAAAAATTGTCTTTCAAACTTTTATTATCTAATAATTTTTTTCGACATAATATTTTCATAAATATATATTTCTATAAGTCTTGCACAATTATTATATTATTATTTTACTGAAATAAACAATATAATTATGTGATATCGGAGAGAGATACGTTCAAAGATAGACTTTATCAAGATGTTTACATTTTGCGATACAATATAGACGCGTGCGATGAGAAACTTGTTTATATAATATGTTGATACGATTGTGAAGAGATTTTAGAAGAGCATATATTTCTGTCCGAGATAATGACGCGGAGGACAGCAAAGAGCCAAAGAGGAAAGCAAAAACTCTCGGTACTGAGCAATGATGTCACAACCAGACGATAGCCCTGAGAGAACGTTTACCCCGCGACTCGAAAATAGGTTTATACACCTATGTATAGCACTTCGTTAACTGTATTTAAACGTCGCACTATATTGGGACGCTTTTGCAGTTTGTGATAATAATTAGATACACAAATCATTTAATTGAAAATTGAAATTGTCAACATTCATAAATATTCGTTTTATTTTAAATTGCGAATTATAATATGTTCAATGTTATAAGATGTTAATTACGCTGTGTTATCGTCAATCTTAATAATGTGCGCTACTTAATTGCATCTTCCACTGTAATCATCATACAATCCCACGCACGTTAAACAATCACTAAACATAAATTTAAACAAGTGCAATTAGAGCTTCGCTGGTTAGTTAATTGCACATTTCCTTAATTAAAGAAAACATTATATTTGTCTCTGTCGTGCATTTTACATTTGACGGGACAGGTGAAGCATAATAACGAATAAGAAGCAACGAAGCATGCAAGGGTGCAATTTTCTGACTTCAAAAAAGCTCCGGATCGATATGTATCACCCGAATTACCTAAAAATATTGCGCCGTAATTTTGCAATCTCTTAGACTTGCTCTTTCTCTTTATTTTTTATTTTTATTCTACATTCTGATTAATGTTATTATATGAAAAGAGAGATATATTATTAAATTAATATTTAATTTAGTATATTTTTCAAAAAACAACTAATTCTTAATAATTTTTTCTTTATTTGTTTCTTTTTTTAAAAATTATTTTACAAAAAATGACATTCGACATATATAAAATAGAATGTTTGAAAATAATATACAATATAGAGAATAAATAACATCGAAATATTTTGAATATCAAGATATACTGAAAATAACTTTAATTATATAATTGAATACGAAAAATGTACTGCAAGATATCGGTAACAAGAATCGATTGCCTCAAGGCGCTTCTATTATTAGCCAATCTTTTTTGCCGTAGTTGGAAGTGTTAATTAATATAGCTCGTAATGGAGCCTCCCCGTATGAACACTTTCTCTGTGTTCGCTAAATTATCCGGTAGACCTCGATCGCCTTGATGCACATCAGCGCGAAAGCGACGATGCGATTTTGCCGAAGGAGGACAATCATTGCCATCGCTATAGTCATCGTCGATATTATTCAAACGACGCACGTGTGTGCTTTTTTCTTTTTACAGGTTGTGCAAAATGGTTTGGAGATCCTTACGTTTCTCGCGGATCGGATGGGTCACGATTTCAAGCCTTACATCTCCACCATCATTCAACCGACGATAGACAGGCTAGGTGAGATATTTGTTCCACTCACTTGTTTCGTAAATCATCTTCGAGATTGAATCGACAATACACGATATTAGCGCTGAAAAACTTTCTATTATTATTCTTGACAATTTCGCAACTTACGATAATTATTGATACTAATAAAAACTCATATTTTTGCTTATAAATATCCTTAAAGTACTTGTGATACGAAAATAGAAAATAGATTGTTTGACGTCAAGTTTTTGATTAGAAAACTATGCTATTTGTCAGCTTTTATCCGAGAAGCGAGTTTCGCTGCGTATTGAATGAATCATCAGTTAATCGCTAAATGAGTTTCAAATAGAACGGAGTTGGAGTTTAAATGTCTTTAATGAGGTTGAAGTCTATGACAGATGTACACCATATTTGTCGAGAACCGGTCCGTCGATCGCTTTCAGCTCTCTCGCAAAGCTGTTGAGAATAAATTGCATATACATATGCGCGATTCGACAATATCTCCTTCTCTTCCTGCTTTCATATATCTCACATTGTCATGCGTGCGAGAACTGACGATTAAATTTGCATTCATTGCAGGGGACAGTAAAGATGCTACTAGAGAAAAAGCGCAGTTGGTGCTCCTAAAGATCATGGAGAAGGGATGCATGTCACCCCAAAATCTTCTCGATAGACTTCGTCCTGCTTTTAATCACAAGAATGCAAAATTACGAGAGGAAGCTCTAATTTTGTTGACGACAACGCTGAATGAGTAAGTCACGAGTTTTGATTTCTTGAAAATATTATGTAGAGAACGGTAGAAAGTTTTTGGATTGTACGGAATGTTTTTGTCTCTTTCCAGACATGGAGCAGACGAGATGGCACTGTCGGGCGTGATCCCGAGCATTGTCAAGTTGCTGTCTGATCCTTCGGAAAAGGTTCGGGAGACCGCTTTGAATACGCTGGCGGACATTTATCGACATGTAGGCGAGAGATTACGCGTCGATTTGCAACGAAAGCACAATGTGCCGCAAGCCAAGTAAGTGAAATGGCCAGTGAAAGCGGATTCTCTTTTCGGTTTTCAGTCTGCGAGAAGAATTTCATGGCATATTTTCTAATAGTGATTCAATCGCTCGTGAAAGCCTTCTCACTGCATATTATAACCGGTTGGTGTAACGTAATGCAATAAATTCAGCTTATATATGACAACAAATTGGAGGTCACTAGCAGCACAAAAGTATTCTCGTGAACTCGCTTATCTTTACGGGCCCAAGAGTTATGTCAGGGATTTGTCGAGACCGAGTAGAAAGCGAGCAAGCTAAGCTATCATCAAAGAGATTCGAAGTTTCTTATTGTAAATTTTTGTAGCATACATTTCTTACATTAGACTTTTAATTCACAAATATAAATTGTAATAAAAACAAACATTTATTTAATTATTAAATTTTATTATTTTTTATTTTTTTTTTTTTTTTTTTTTAATAACTTTTAAAAATTAATGAAATTTTGACAGTTATAATATGATATTAAACACGTGATATGATTATCTCATTAATATATTTTAAAAAATTACTTTCAAAAAGATGAGAGAAAAATATTAAAACTTCAGTTCACACATACATATAAGTTAACTGTCAGATAAGTATAATAATAGACAATAGGTCTCGAGGTTTATACTCGCTCGAGAGATAGAGTGATTATGGGGGGATAATTTTGTCACAAGTAAGCGAAATTTATTGTAATAAAATGTATGATCACAACATTATGTAAACTCGCTTTTGTTCTGTTTACAGAATGCTCCTGTTAATAGAGAAGTTTGATCAACTGAAGGCTGCCGGCGATCTCCTACCCTTAGCAATGTCATCTGACGGTGAGTGAACCGATTAAATTTTCTGGCGCCGCGGGATATCGCTTAATTTAAAAGCTCGATGGTGATGAAAAACGGCGCGAGTGTGCCACGCGCGTGTCACCCTCGGGCCTATATCGTTATTCAACGCGTGCAGAGCAGCTTGTATCGTGCTGCCATCGCGCAGCCACGAAGTCTATCACGTAGTGAGATTTTTGCCTTCGCATGCCAGGAAAACTCCTCTCACTCCGCTCGTTCTATCTCACTTTATCTTCTGTAATTTAAACGTTACATGTATACATCATGAATATTTACCAAGGACCGTATGTTCCACGATGTGACGAGAATACTCGCCGGTATACCGCGTGGAACATCATCGACTTGGATTTAACGACACGTCGATATCTCCGGTTCGGATCGGAATTTTTACCTCCTTGCTTTCAGAAAAAGAAAAGGAAAATTAATGATGACTGAAACTTAATGACTGCTAAAAATAAGATCTGAAAAAATACGTGAAAAGCTTTTCCAACATTAAAAGAAAACTGAATTTTTACACAACATTTGATTGCGCATTTGTACATATTTGTCATTTATTAACTTTGATTTGCATATCTCTAAAAAAAATAGGATAAAATTTAATATAAATTTCTTCTAAAAAATTTTTTGTTTTAATCATGCAAACAAAACTTTATCCTCATTAAATAAAAATATTTTTAGAAACTAGGGGGGCAACTAGTGTTGAAGTTAATCTCACAAATTTTGGTTAAATAATTATTTTTCCAGAAGTGTGCAAAACAAAAATGAAAAAATGGCAAACAATGCGTAATCAAATGACGTAGAAATTAAATTTTTTTCAAATATTGGGAAGCTAATTCCACATGCGGATAAAATTTATGCAAAGCCGCATATTCCGTTTCGCGTAAAACTTCCTTTCCTTGAACGAGCGATACAATGAGGTCGCTAATTCGCGTTATCTGCACACCGTCGCGGAGATTACATAATATTGCATACGGAGCGGGATAGAATCGCGTCGTCGCGATAGGTGCAATACATATCGACGATATATTGTTTCAAACGCCGCGCCTGTAATTCATACCGGAGCTAAGACCGTTTCGCTTGAAAACGGACGGCCTTGTATTTGCACGGCTTGCACGGGTATTCAAATTTCGGTCACAAATATTACACGTGTCGCGTCAGCAATCGTGTATATAACTCGACTTCTTTCGCGCTTCCCGCTTCGATTTGATGGAAAAGTCCGACCAAAAGCAAAAGTTCGTCTACACCTTCTGTTTGCGTAATCGATCGCGGTGTAAAATGCTAAGATCGTAAAGAAGGAGTTTCTTAAGTCGCTTCGCGACCTCCGCAATTTATCTTTGCGTCCCGTATCTTTTCGGTGGTTCTATCGGAGGTTCCGCGATTTATTTCTTCTTCGAACGTGACGATGCGATTATTAGTTGCCGTCATTAATTACTACCACTATCTGCGCGATAGTTTTGCGAAAGGTCAGATAGTTCTCATTGTTGGACAAGGTTATCTTCCCTATTATTTGTTCCTATAATTATATTTCGTATCAGGGATTATAAATCAAAGTAAATTTTAACCACCGCTGTTGCGACATAAATGTCACAAGCGGCAAATAAGCTCATTAAATATTTACTATCAATTAACGTGAAGCAATCCATCATCTCTGACGAAAGTAGCGGCTAGAGAGTTTAATAGAATTTTAAATAGAATTTTAATATTACGAGTTTTTTTTACACTATCCGTTTTCTCTTTCTCTCCCTCTTACTGTCAGAGCCAGAGTCGAAGATGCGCGCAACTTTGAGTTCATTTCCTTTTGCTACACCCTGTGAATACACATCGGTCACGATTAGATCATACATGGGCTTGGCAGAAGAAGTCACGGCGCTTCGCTTGATTTCAAAGATATTAATAGAACTCAAAATAGCCGTGAAGCGCTAATAGCGATCTTCCGCGAAGAGCCGCGCATCCCCTTCATGGACATTCGAACTTCCGGTCATAGCAAAGTCCGGGGGATCAATCTCAGGCGTTATTAGCGGTTCCGCTACATGTTCTCCACACGTTGATTATGCATCCATGAATATTCTAGACCTTCTCTCGCAATAATTAAGTAACACACGCGCTATATACACATCTCGAAAATTAAAAGGTCCCAAAATATTAATTAAAGTTGAATTCTATAACATCTATTTTGCATATTTACCTGAAAAGGGTATAATTTAATTAAAATTATTCGATACGAAAAAAGCTTGAAAATTACTCTCGTAATGAGAAAATAATACCGAGGAATTAATCGTCAATCAACACGTGTTATACATCGACATCCTCATTCATGCATAACATATATTCATTCATGCAGAAACGTTTACCTAATAATGCTTTGCATAAATTCAATTTTGTATTTTTTCTAAATATAATTTACACATACTTCGCGGTCGGCGGTGACGTAACTATATATGTACGCCTGACGGCCGTTCGCCGTGTTTTTGACGTTCTACGAATGCGAATTAGAATCGCGGGATGAATTTTTTTTTTTTTTTTTTTTTTTTTCCACAACGCACCGCGTTATGTAGTGGGATTTCTGTGACGCCGATTAAAATCGTCATCGTGACGACGACGGTATCCTCGCACGACGAAGTTATGCGACACGGAAAGGTTACGCGAACCTGGCGAGCGAGCAAAAATTTGCATAAGTCTCGTTTTCGCTCTCTCTTTCCCCGTGACCCCGCATGCAGCCGAGGATTGTGTTGTGTTAGAGGTTCACAGGCACACATAAGTGCTGCGCGATTTCTCCGGAACGCTCCAGCGATCCTTGATTTGCATCTTAGAAAAGTATAAAAAGAGACCTCCTCTCTCTACTCTCTTGCGAATTCAAATCGACGCGCGACGATTAATAAATGTCGGCCACCGTGCGAAGGATACAACGTATTTTGCGAAATTAATTGGCAACTCTCTGACAACCTTTCGCAGGATATATTTCAACTCTAATATGTACTATATTTATACGATCCGGATATACTCCGAGAGAATTTGTTCTTGGAATTTACCCTGAAAATCGTGATAATCGTGGGATAATATGGTGTTAGAAGATTTTTATAAAACTTTCTCTAATATTTATTACAATAAAAATATTAATATGTTCGATTCATTTTACTGTGTACATAATAAAAATTACTACATATACGTATTAATATTTTTTATTGTGGTAAATATTAATCAGAGAAACTCTTATAAAATTCTCTCAATAACATATTGTCCCATGATTATAGAGAAGAGAAAATTTTCTCCATATATATTTATTTTATATATTTATTATATATGTATATCATCTCGTTATTTTATGCTCATTTTAATTTAATATAATTTAAATAAATTCTAACTTTAAGAATGAAGGAAAGGGAGGTAAGGAATTTTTGCGAGATCTGACACTGCAGAAAAAAATGCATTGAAAAATCATCTCTTGAAATTTACCCTCTAAAAATCATGATAATCATGGGATAATATGATATTGGCAGATGTTTATAAGAAGAGTTTTATCAAAGTTTCTCCGATTCATATTTGCCACAATAAAAAATATGAATAGCTACTACAATAAGATATAAAAAATATGTTTGATTAATTTTACTATGTACATATTAATCTTTTTTATTGTGGCTATATAAATATTAATCATCGAGATTTCTTATAAAATTCTTTCTATACAATTGTCATGATTTTTTGGGTAAATTCTAGGAAGAAATTTTCTTCGTATGATTGCTACGAATCGAAATCGGAAAAACGAGCTTGATCTTAGATTCGAATGATTACACGTCAGAACACACTGTCTGTGTGTTAATTATAGGATCTCGATAATCGCGGTATCGGGCGCGATTACTTGGATTAGGGACTACCTTCCTGTAACAACACATCGTGAATTCACACCGCGAGTCCACCCGCGCTCTCGCTCTTAAACTCACGCCTTATTACGCGACCTTATCCCGAAGGCAGCGAGATGCATGCTCACGTGCGCAAGTGAAAGGTAGGGTGGCAACACGCAGATTTATCTCCGCGGCTACAGCGCACGATTCCAGCCTCCGATCAGATATGAAAAACACAGAAGAACGCCCGGCTGCTGCCCTTTCGTCGCGTTCTTTGACCGTTGCCCCGTTAACCTTTCATAGAGCCGGTCAATAAAACGAGCTTTTCGAGTGCTCAAAATATTCATTTTTTAATCATTAGAAATATCGCGTAACAATACGAAATAAAAATCTTGACGTTTGAATGTCTTTATTTCGTCTATATACCATACGAGAAAAAATTAAATTAGGTACACTGAGAAAAAATTGTCAACTAAATCGTTCGACTAAATATTATTTTGTTAATTGAACATGTAGAAATATTAAAATTAAATATTGTAATTAAATATAACAAAACGTGTGTTTATATAAAATAACTTATTTTTTATTTGCTAATTTTTCGCAAAATATCGATAATAAAATTGAAAAGACATTCGGAAAATCTGCGCGCTATCTCCTCTCTTGGAAGGCGAAGAGACAAATTGCTCTGTGATGATATAATAATTGTTTGTTTAATCTGACACATGGCGTCGTCCGATAAATAGCGTGTGTACGCTATTATGTAACGGCAAGGCCTGTTATCGCCTGCCTTCTCGATGCCGACTAGGCAAAAGCCATGTGGGCGATTCTTCTTAGCGTTGTCTCTCTAACGGCAGAGGATATCAACGTTCACATTTTCCGATGATCTCATGGACGCGCGTAACATCAAACAGAAAATCTTACCATCGATCGTCAGTTTCTCCCTCGTGTTTGTTTTTCATTTATTTTCTCGCACCGAACTACGTCATGTTTTTCACGAGGTTCTTACTTATTTAATAAAGCACTTATCAATCCCTGTAAAAGAGTACCAAGCATCCGTAAAATGAAGAACTGTGTAATCTTTGCGCAAAATTTTCAGTTCAAATCTATTTAATGATTATTATATATTATTGCATATTTTAAGATATT